ATCTTAAACGAAAATTTATATTTTTTGAGGTTGGTGACTCGGTGATGGTGCGGATTCATCCGGAACGGTTCCTGCAATGAATGATTAAGAAGTTACATGCTAAGAATGCAGGACCATTCAAGATAATTAAGAAAATCAATGATAATGCTTATGTAGTGGATCTGCCTGCAAAATTTAATATCAATCCCTCCTTTAACATAGAATATCTAATAGTATATGAAGGTCCTGATTTTAACCCACCAAATCCACTTCTAAAGCAACCTTGTGTGACCCCAACTTGTGAGAACCAAAACCTATCTTCACTTCCAAACATTCCCAAAATACTTATGGCAGCGAAGGTTGACACGATTCTGAGTGATGATATCATTTCCACAAGAGAATGTGGACAAAGGAGGTATTTGATCAGGTGGAAAGGCAAACCCGAGTCAGAGGACACTTGGTTGGATCACGAGGAGCTACAACAGATTGACCCTGACGAATTGAAGATTTAGGAGAGCACCCGGGACACTTACTCAAAGGAGTCGAGCTTTTTTCCACCCCGGGAGAATGATGGGGACATCAAATCATGGAAAGTATATCAGAGACGTGGCCGACAATCTACGGCCACGATTGCGCTGGTCTATTTTTGAGTCTTCATATATATTTGTTTTAGTTGCATTTTCCTTTTTACCCTTAAGGGTTTGTCATGTGTAAGCCCTAAGGGCTATATCATCTTTTATTTTTCCTTTTGTTGTATGAGGCCTCAGGCCATATATAGCCCTCTTATATTTCTTTTGAGATGATGAATGAATTATAATCAAATTCCTGCAAATTGAGTTCTAGTGAGAGTTTGAGAATCTTTGGAGAGAAATCCTCAGGAGAGGGAAGCATTCGGATTCGTGGTTCTTTCTTACATACCTTTCCTCCCTCCGCCAATTCCCCACTACCAGCCCTAACTCCTCTTCCCCACCCATGGTCGAACCCCGTCATCCAATCTCCCCTCCTACCTGCCGGCCCAAGTCCCCTATCCACTCAAACCGTCGGCCATACACCCCTCCCTCTCCCACCCAAACTCTCTCCACCAATTCAAGACCCAACCGACTTCACCCTCTCCCCCTCCATACCAAACAAAATACCCTCACCCTCACCCTAGCTGGCGGCCACATCACCCTCCCCGTTGGAATCCCTCCACAAAGCATGTAATCAAAGCCCTTTCCAATTCAGCCTTTCTAATTTAGGCAATCTATTTAATTCATATTCAAATCAAATTTGAATTTGAATTGTTCCCTAAATTACAAAATTCTATTTTAGGAAAGTTTCTAAATTAAATCCTATTTGAATTTAAATTCAACTAGATTTAATTAAAGCTTTCCAACTTCCCAATTCCAAAACGAGCAACCCTTGATTTCCTTTCCCCAATTCCCTCACGCTCTATTAAAACCACCAGCCCCTCTCTCTTACCCCCCTCCCTATTTCTCTTCCCCCACCCCCTCGCGCGCGCGTCATTAATTCCTCCCAAATCAAGTGGAGTAATTAAAGAAAGGTTTACCTCTTTTCCCTCCATCTTCCACCTTTCAAATCAGAACCCTAATTCCCTCTCCCTCTCTACCCTAGCCGGCTAAAACCCTAACTCCACCAAAATATGATCCTAAGTTCTCCTTAGCCCCTACTTTGGTCGGCCATCCTCTCATCCTTTCTTCTACTTGGATTCTTGAGAGAAACTTCTTTTTCTCAAGGGGAAACCTTAAGGAGAGTAAAGGACGTCGTCTCCAACACTTTGACACCACGAAATCGTTGCATGGTTGATCCCGATCTCCGGCTTCGTCTACAACGAACAAGGCTTCATTGACATCCTCCGGTCGCCTTTCTTCGATGTCAATCCAAAAGTAGACAATTCCGCCGAGGAATACTTGGATCGTATCATCTTCACCTTGTCCGAAGCCATCAAAGAGCAGCTTTCCACCATTCAGTGACAAATCACCACCATCCCGTGACGAGGGTGAACTTTTCTTCCTATTCAATTTTCTCCTAATCTTCTTCTCTTGTAGGTTGTGAATCGAGCACAGGGAATCGTGCAAAGCTATCTGTCAATGCTTAGTAAACGTAAGGCATGAGTTTTATTTTCTATACATTCTAATCTCATTATTAGCCTAGGGATGCTATTGAAAATCTTCTTAATTTGCATATGCTGAAATTCTAATTGCTTTGGTGATCTTAACTTTTAGTGTGTGATTTGGCCTAAACGAAGCCACCTCTCTTTTGTTTTCTATTATCGTTTAGTAACTAACGTTTTAATTTTTATTACTCTTATTCAAAGCGGGCAAGTTCTTATCACATTCATTTAAATCATACCTAGTCCTGCATCACATAGTAGGGAAAGATCAAGTAGAAGATAAAACCTTTGGCAAAATATAAGAGAACCTAGCTATTCCCTAAAAATATTGTTTCACATCCGTTCCAAGGAGACAAACTAACAGATCTCATGTCAATAAGATTTTGGATTCATTTCAAAATTGAAATCATCATACTTTTGATGTCAGAAAAAACAAAAACAAAAAGTATGTGAGCATGGAATTTTTTAAAAAGGAACAAGATGAAAAACTTATTTAAGATTTTAAACAGCGAGCAAAAAGTAATTCATTGAAAATTTCTAATATAACTTGCTACCTGAAAAGCGGATACATAGAGATTGCTAGATACAATATCTTAAGCATTAAATCATATATATATATATATATATATATATATATTTATATATATATATATATATATATGATAGGATGAAAGCGAACAAGCGCAGATCACACTATTCCAAAAAATTTGGACCCCAAATATCTATCTTCCTCATTAGAGAATTAATTAACAAAGACGTGCTTCTTGTCACCAAAAAACAAATTTATTATAGAAAGAGATGTAAAATACAAAGGTGTAATGTAAACTCTCCAGCAAAACAAATCATATCCACTACTTTTGACACAATTTGCATACAATTAAAATCATATTGATGTAGAACATACATGAATGGATGGTGTAATTTAAGGAATTTGCACGCTTAGATCTAGGTAACAATATTATTTAAAACTTTTAAACGATATAAACGATGAAATTAAAACAAGAGTGCGGTGTCACAAGTTTAGGCCGAGTCATACATATAAAAGTTAAGACCACAAAGTAATCAATTACTCTTAACGTTGCATGCAAGATAGGTTTCAACAAGAGATCCCTACGTTAACAACAAGATTAGTCACTATGCTAGAATCCGCTCACTCAACTATCTAATCCCTAAAGCTTTAGTAGAGTAATTAACAAGCTTCTTATGAATCAATTATACCACGTAGTAGGATAACTATGAAGATAAGAGACTAGGGAAAGAGTTCACCATTATCAAGCATTAGGCAGTAGTTGGAAGCCTCATATCAGCAACACCGTCTCCAAAGTTAGGACAGCAATCTAGACTGACTAGGGAGTTCTGGGCAGCAGTTGGAGCCTTCCGGTTGAAGGTGTGGTGCAGGGAAGCCTGCTGAACTTTGTGGACAGCAACTTGGTCTTCCTAGAATAACAGTTTGGCTCTTGAAATGCTTCAGATAGTAGCTAGAACAATATTCAGAAAAATCTGGCAGCAGTTCCCCAAGTCGGATGGGTCTAGGATAGCAAGATAAGCCTCTCGGGAATACAGGATAGCAGGGGAGACTTGCTGTATTCTTTGAACAGCAGTTAGAGATTTCTCAAGAGGGGAAATTCTGGATGGAGGGGCCTTGGGAAGATCCGGCTAGGGCTGCCAAAGATTGCAGCTAAATCTAATCAATAATTGTCATTTAGGAGTGATTAGATTAAATCAAACCCAATGAGAATTTAATTGGATTTGATTTAAGGACCTGATTGGGAAGTAATAATGGAAAGAAATAAGGATGAAGGGGGTGGGAACCGAGAGAATTCAAGGGGAAAGGGAGATGGGGAAGCCGGTGGCTGGCCTTGGGTTGGAGACGGTCGGTGATGGAGGAGGTGGGGGTTGGAGCCGAGGGAAAGGAGGCAGCAGGCTGCCTTGACCGGCGACTTGGAATGGAGGGTGGGGTGAAGGCCGATGGTATGGGAGGGGAGGGAGCTAAGGCCGGCAGCTTGAAGAAGAGAAGAAGGGGAAAAACTAAAAGAAAATTGATAGAACCACGAACTCGGACGCTTCTAAGATTGGTGGGTGATTCGTTGCCCTTCACCAAGGGACTTCTCCAAAGCTCTATCTCCAAGAACTCTCAAGCTCTCAAAACACACAAGTGCAGGAATTTTTATCATATTCATCCATTACCCTCTCCAAGTGGAGAAGGGGGCTTTAAATAGCCAAATACAAGAAGGAAATAAACAAAGACACTCTTGCCCCTAGGGCATACATAAGACAAAGCCCTCAAGTGAGGGTAGAAAGGGAAAAAGTATAATATCAAATCAAATACACAAAATAATTCAAAAATAAATAGGTATGATAGTAGCCATAGATCGTCGGCCCCGTCTCTAGTAGACTCTCTACGTTCGGATATCCTCATCACATATCCAAGGCTTAAAAAGGAATTCCAACATGTTTCCTCACAGAAGGATGGACCTTCACTTAAAAAAGGGACAGAAAACCTGAGCCTACTTAAAACAGGTGAAAAGATACGATGATATGATGTCCAATTGCAAAAACACGATTACCACAAAAACTATGCTCTATTATTTATTCAAATTTGAATCAGTAAGCATAAGTTTCTACATGCCCATTATAAAAAAAGAGGATCATGGGAAAGAATTAATCAAATAACTAGTTTACTATATTCAGTACAAATTCAAATTTTAAGTTGTAAATTTCATGCATCGTGCCAACCAGATAAAGAAAACAATTCTGTCTTCATAAAAAGGTAAAAAGTAGAAACCTGGAAGTAAAATGCAACGTTCAGATAAACTATCTAAAAAAAAAGGAAAAATATAATAATGCTGCAAAACACATGCAGCAATTGCTGAAAATATATATATTCTTAAGAAAAAAGTCCACTGACCATACGCCGAAAAGTTTCATTATCCACGTCCATGTTATCTCTGCTACCAGGAGTCGCAAGGCTCACAATTGAAGGAATAGGATCAGGCTCCCCAGTTAGGAATAAGGTGTTCACTATACCATAATTGCCGGACACATAACGTTGGTTCTCATCATGACGCCACTCACCATCAACAAAAAATTTATACTGCTTGCAAAGACAAAGGTGGTGAATACATCCTCAAAATATCAGAATTCTCAAAACAAGATCAAAGCCTAGAAAGTTTAATAAAGAACATAAATGTAATGTTGCACAGTGTTTAACTAGTCAAATGGCACGCCAAGCATTCATAATGATGAGAGTAGCATAGAATAACTATGAATGAACAACAGATGAATACATGTTCATGCATGAAAGTGTAAACTACAGCTTACAAAGCCTATTTGATGCAGAACATATATATATGAAAATATCATTTAGATAAGGATTTTGCATGCTTTATGATTAGTAGCAAGTTAATTAAAACTTTCTGGTGAATTAAACAATGAAGTAAAACACAAAGAGCGGTAAACACAAGCTTAGGCTAAGTTACTTGCGAAAAGTAAAAACCACATAACAATCAATTACTCTTGACATTGCATACGAGATAAGTTTCAACGAAAAATTCCTAATCTAACAACTCTTAAGAGTTGTGCTATGAAAGATCTCACACAATTCCTATTAAATTCTAGGCTTTAGTGAAGCATCGCAAGATTTTGCATGAATCAATTAAACCACAAGTAAGGATCAACGAGGAAGACAATAGAAGAGGTAAGAGTTCACCCTTCGTTAAGATTCAACCTTCTCGTGAGCTTGGGCAACAGTTGGTGGCTTCTAGGACGGCTCGGACAGCAACAAACCAAGCTCAAACCTCTGGACAGCAAGCAGCCGACCTGGGACAGCGATTCCAGGGCAGTTCTAGGCAGTAACAGTGGCTTCCCAAGGGGCTGGACAGCAGAGAACTCCTGCTGGAATTACTGGACAGCGGGTAGGTGCTTTGGGCAGTAGTTTTCTCAGGTTTGGAAGAGAAAGACTACCTCTGCTAGCATCCAGGAATTTCTGGACTGTGTAAACAGCAGCACATGGAGATCGAGATGGCAGTGAGAAGCCTTCCTGATGATGGTACGGTAAAAAAGTCTTGCTGGAGTGACGGGCAGCAAGCTTTCCTTCTTTGGACAGCAGTTGAGAAGATTCCAGTTGGTGGAGGGCACGGAATAGATGAAGGAATTCCAGGCAGAAATTTTGGAGAGCAGAAAACCAAAATTCTGATGGGGTTTAGGCGGGATTCATAGAAGGAAAACCTAACAAAGGGGTAAGGTACTATGCGGCTGTGCTAGGGGAAAAATCGCACAAAAAGGATTATAGGGCATGGACTTTTGGCCTTTAATTTTTGGTTTGAGAATTTTGATTTGATCTTGATTTTGGATTTGGTTTTGATTGATGACCCTCATGCAAAGATGAGGTCAACAACAGTAGGCAGTGTAATGTACTACGGAGCAAAAATGCACTATTTCAAAATAAAACCAAATTACCATAGATTATTCATAGCGTCGTTTTGAGATTTTAATTGTACTATATCTTTTTTTTTTAACCAAAATTATTTTCTAATTGACCTAGTGAAATTTTATAGAAAAATATTTTAATATCCATAACCATCCTCTATATAACATAAAGAAAGCTTTACGGTGAAAGTTTTATTTATATCAAGTTATACCACCATTTTTAACTTACAAAATTATAAATTAAATAAAAAAATTTCCTAAATTCTCTTATTTTTGAAAATTGAAATAGATAAAATGCAACTTATTTTGAGCCAGACAATTTTCAGAACTGGGTCTACAATAGAAAATGACCTGAAGAGGCTTGGAAAAAAACCTCAAAACCAAATCAAATGACCTCCAATTCATAATCCGTCTGTTGCATATTGATTAGGCAGGTCTCTAGAGTTAACCCTCCAAATTTGAGGCCAATATGAGATCTCTAATCCCAAAAATACAATTGAAATCCAAAGCTGCAAAACCTTCAAATATTTACAGTCTATGCCACAAGAATTTGGATCTTATGGAATTTGACTTTAGGAACTTCCCTAAAAGCTTTGAACATGTTCAAAATCATATTTATGACATGTTAAACACAAATTCACATTCATTTGTAAGATTTTAATATATTTTAAAAACACTATTCCATTCATTTGTTCAATTGAGTCCACCGAGCAAGAGAGGGAGAAAGAGAGTGCTTTGGAGAGGGAAAAGGTAATTTTGAGCCTCTTTCGGCCATTTTTAGTCATCGAGCAAATTGAGAAAGTTGTCCTGATCGTAGCATATCACAATATGCCTATCTCAATTTTAAAAATATGAAGTTTTTTAAAATTTTCTGATTAAATTTCTATATATGTTATTGAAAAATATGAATAATTTTATACTGAAATCTTTTTATTCTGTAACTTTTTATAAGTTATAGAAATTAAGATTATGAATATTTTGTGTATTTTTTAAAAAATTTATACTATATATTTTGGAATTTGTTTGATTTTAATTCAACAAAAAATACTCTGGATATTAAAAAAAAAGTGTTGTAATACAATGAATGTCTTAGAACATTGTTTTACGCAATCCTTGATAATTTGATTATGTTTTGAAACTGTAAAATTGTACTCAATAAGAATTTTTGTTGCTTCTCGTTATAAAAAATTATGAAATTCTGAAACTTCTCAATTATGCTTTAACAACTATAATATGATGAAATTATGCATATATGATGAAATATATATGTTGCGATATATAAGAGTCAAGAATCCTTTGAAATTTTATCTATGTTAGGGAATATTCTGGTTCCTATAAGACATGTTCTAGTGACTATACAACCATGTTCTGGTGGCTATAAGCCATGTTCTACTATCTACGAGTCTGTTCTAGTACTATAAGTGCAAAGGGAGTCATAAGGGATTAGAATCCTTTGAGATTCTGTTTGGTTCATGAACAAGAAAAGAAAAACTGATATGAAATATAATATGAACTGTTATATGATAGGATGGGCCAGCCATGCATGGGATTGATTGGGGTTTAGGCGGGATTCATAGAAGGAAAACCTAACAAAGGGGTAAGGGACTATGCGGCTGTGCTAGGGGAAGAGGGAATTCTATTTGGGTATTAAGAAGTAGCATTAAATGAGATAGGATGGGCCGGCCATGCATGGGATTGATTGGGGAATTTAAGATCCCTTTCAAAACTTACGATGTTAGCTAAGGAAAGAGGATTATAGGCAAGTATCTAATTAATTGATTGAATTAATTAGATAGAAAGGGGACCGGCCATCTATGATGCACGGACACGGACACGGTGACATGGACACGACGAGACACAGACACGGACACGGCGGCATGGACACGACACGGACACGGGACATGACTTTTTTTGAAAATATAGGACACGGGTACGGCGCGAACACGGCAATACATTTTTTTATATAGTGTATATATATTAATGTAATATCACATTAAAAATGACAAACAATAATAAATGAATGATATGATAACTTGTCTAGCTTATGATATAAAATATTTAATACAAAATATCTAGTACAACCACAAAAATATAAGCAAATAATCACTTACAACAACATCAAACATTCAAGCTTCAACTATTAGGATTAGCTTTAGAGGTTTGTTTTTGGCATTCAATATCATCATCATTGAATATCACTACTTTCAACTATGGTTCAACAAGAAAAAGATTTGTAATTGTGTAAAAAGATAGGAGATGAAAATACCTTCACTGCCAAAGAGAAATGAAAATGAAAATATTTAATGAATGGGTATTAAATGCAGACGTTGATTTGGTGTTGTGGATATGAAATAAGAAATTTAGTTTAAATCTCGCAAAATATAAGAAATTATATTTTAAAAAAATTATAAAATATGTAAGATACGCGTGTCGGACACTGCACGCCTCTTTGAGGAGAAGTGTCGGACAAGTGTCGGACGAGTGTCGTGTCAGACACGGTGCGGACACTGCGCGCCTCTTTGAGGAGAAGTGTCGATGCATCATAGCCGGCCATGCATGAGGGAAAATTGATTGGGCTTTAAATCTCTTTCCAAACATAGGATATTTAATTAAGGGAAGAGAATTAAAGGGAATTTCTAATTAAATTCATATTTAAAGAGATTTGGAAAGTGTCCAAATTAGATTAATCTTATTTTAGGAAAGAATTCAAATTCAAATTTATTTGAATTTGAAAATTGAAATCTTTCCAAATTTAAGATGATCTAAATTAGGCAAGTCTTCAATCCTTTCCTTAGAGGAGGTTTGAAGGAAAAGGAGGGGCAAGTAGGGCCGGCGGGTGAGGGCTTGGGTGGTGGGTGGCCGGTAGGGTTATGGTGGTGGTGGGATTTTGACCAAGAAAAGAAGAGGGGTTAAGGCCGGCAGGTGTAGTGGGGAAAGGGGGGTGGTGGCTTGAGGTGGTGGTGGTGGAAGCCGTTGGCCGATGGCAAGGTGGGGTGCTAGGAGATCAGGCGATTAGGAGGAAGAGAAATTGAAAGGAAAGAACGATAAAGCAAACCACGAACTCGGCCATCTCGAAGGTTGGTGGGTGATCCGTTTTCCCTCCCTAGGGATTTCTTCAAAGCTCTCTCCAAGAACTCTCAAACTCTCTCAAAACACACAAGTGCAAGAAATTTTTCATAATATTCATCCATTACCCTCTAAGGAGAAGAGGGAGGCTTTAAATAGCCAAATACATGAAGGGAAATAACATAGACAATATTGCCCCTAGGGCATACATAAGACAAAGCCCTCAAGTGAGGGTAGAAAGGGAAAAAGACCAATAACAAATCAAATACATAAAATAGATCAAAATAAATAGGCACAATCGTAGCCGTAGATCTCTGATGTCCTCATCACAATTTGCATGAAAGATTTATAAAAATGGAAATAAAAAATGTAGTAATATCATTCAGAGATATCATATCAAAAGCTTACGATTAATGTATTTTATGGAACAGAAAAATAAGAGAGATAATAATGGGCACAAGGCCTTAGTGTGGAGCCCTCCAAGGAATTTTAAGTGAATAAACATAAAATGTAAATTGCAAGCTCACAAAGTATAGACACAAAATCACCCCATAAGTTCTTTCATATTCTTAAGACAACACCCAAGCTAATTTAAAACGGTACTGGAACAATGGCTAAGTGATGGAAACATTGAACAGAATCTTTTCAGAACATTTCTAAAATTAAACACGGCAACAATAAGCCAATAATGCTGGATCTTACCTGATGCAATCCTGGTGTCAAGTTACAAATAGCCTGAAATGCAGTAGGGCAATCCTCCATTGGGGACATAGGTAAATGGTCAGACCACCTAAAGTAAGCATTACAATAAAAAGGCCATCAAATCAGATTTTGAATTTTGAAAGGAAAATATGAGAAATAAGCTATAAAGGAATCCATGGATTAAAAGAAGATGTAGAAGAACTAAGATGCTTGGCAAGTAGCATGCACATGCCACTTACTATGACAGTGTGTGTGTATTAGGCATTATCTCACACTTATAGCTGAATAATATATATGCCAGTGTCGGTGTTAGACAACACCTCTCACTGCAACTGCATATATATAGATGTATCCTCACCAACTACTGAGGGTAACAAATGCAGAGAACTTCTATTAACATGCAAGTATTCGCATTTGGGGTGGTGCATGCGCTCTTTTTGGGTTCAGTAGGGTAAGTGGGGACTGAGAAGTGAGGTGGCAGGGAGTTTTTCTACTTATTAGAAATTCATGTCTATATCATGAAAGAGAAATTAAAAACAGGATCTGAAAAATGCTTCAAAAAACCTCTGAAATCTCAAGACAGCCAATGTTTTCAACTTATATTCTCTACTAAACGAGCAGAAAAAATTCTACTATGACTAACAAGCTACCAAGTTGCTGATGTAGGCAAAGGGGGGGTCAAAATATTTTGGGTTTTAATTTTTGGTGAGCTCCTAAGTCCTCTACTAAAATCAGCTCATTAATATCAAGTAGAATACATTTTTAAGCTCATAAATTGGATATTTATTTGGTTCATTCCCCCCTTTCCTTTGGCCCTTTGATTTCCTCCCCCTTGTTATTCTTTTCTTGTGGCTGGTTCCCTGTGGCCCTTCGATTTTTTCCCCTCCTGGTTCTTCTTCCCGTGGCCTGTTCCAGTTCCCCTAGCTGGTTCCGGCTCCCCTGGCAGTCTGTCCTGATTCCCTAGATGTTCGTTCCTTTCCCGTGGCTGCTTTTCTCGGTTTCATGTGTGGTTTTTGCGGATGCTGTTCTGGAATGAATTTTGGCCTTCCACCTTCCCTATTTTGATTGGACTATTTGGATATGGCTTTGGTTGTTTGGTTGCCCACTTTTTTTCTATAAATTGGAGGTATTTTGTAATAAAAAAGAGGGATATAATGTGATTTTTGGAATAGAAAAAACTGTGATTTTTTCTTGGAAAAGCTTGCGAGCTTGTTCCACTTGTTCTCCTTCTTCTAGGATAGCTTGCGAACTTGTCCTCTCCTTCGTCTTGGCTTCTTACCACTTTCTTATCTCCGCAAGTTCGACGCTACTTGTATCATTCTTCTCAAGCGAATGAAAGCCCTTTTAGGTGTTATCTTTATAAAGTCGTATGTGTCGTTTTGTATTATAAGTTTGCAAGTGTCTTTTTTTTATGATATAAAGGTGTATTTTTTGAGTATTTTGAGTATTTTTTTGCTTCCTAGGAAATCTTGTCATATGTTTGCAAAATTTTGGGTTTCCCTATATTTTTGCTTGCATCAATTGCTTCGTCACAAACATTCATGGGGATCACTACAGCAAACAATTTGACTGGAAGTCAAAGAGTGGCACAAGTCACCGGATTTGTGTTTGTATTGAACTCACCTAACCTCAAAATTAGTTACAACTGTGGAACTGAGCTTTATTTTGTGGAAGCTTAATACAAGTAATAACCTCCAAATGAATTCCGGTGAGTTGATGAAAGCTAATGTGCTCTGTGAAAATGTTCAAGTTTTTTTTAAACATAACATCATACAATGTCCAAAACAAGTATAATAATAGTGTCCTCCTAGTTAAAAATAATAATAATAAAGTTTCTTCGGTCAGAGAATGAAATCCAATAATTATACCATCTCCAGTTTTTTACCAACCATGTCAATAACGTAAACAAAGAGCCCTTACATAACTAATAAAGTTGACTTGTTGAATGCATGATTAATTAGGCAAAGCAGCACACGAACAGATTAAGAGAATTTAAGTAAATATTTTAAGAAAAAAAAACTTTGGATTTTAAACTCTTCCAAAGTTTAAATAAACCAGAATTTCATGGCAGAAATGCACCAAAACATACTCAGAGACAGCTAAGGCAGATAAAACCACTTTACTAGCAGCATAAAGTTTAAATTTTTTAATGGTATGGAAACGTAATATTACAGCAACCACAACAAAACCAACCACAGAATTATTAGACTAAAAGAATTGATACACTGTTCAAATATATCTACACAAAAGTCATTTGGAGTCAACTTTGAAGGTGGCCCAATCAAAATTGAGCAGAGTGTCCTGTACTTTGGAGAGTTTTTATTGGTCCAACTAATCAATTTATCTACACAGTTTTTTTTTTTTTTTTTTTTTTTTTTTTTTTTTTTTTTGGTGGGGGGGGGAGAGGGGGAGAGAAATATTTCTTTAAAGCTAGACAAATTTTCTTAAATAAAGCAAATATCAAAATCCTTAGTAGGTTTTTTTTTTTTTTAAATGAATTTTATTTGAAAAAGTACATATAACTCTGTTAATATACATCACTAGTGCATATGGATCCATACAAAAGAAATACCATTCAACACGTTTATGGAAGTAGATACAAAAACAAAAAGGCATGTAGTTACTAATTCAAAAGCATTAACCATAGTCAAAATTCCAAGAAATATCCAGATGACCTTGTAAAGGAGCCAGTCAAGAATACTCTTCTTCCCCCATGTGGCCATACGAACCGCGTAGGAATTAGCACAGCACCTACAGTACCACTTAAATCCTGTGAAGCATCCACTCCAGAAGAAAACATGATTGCCTGATGAAGCTAGCTCACTATTGTCTCCCTTCACTTCCAAAATCACCCCTTCAATAGAATCTGCAGCCAACAAAAGAAAAACCCAGGTTCCACCCCAATGCCTCTCTCCGGAGCTAGACTTCATGGAAACCAATAGCACAATAAAGCATATCCCATCACAATGAAGCCCCGCCCTGTGACGGAAAACGAAAAAACACGGAACCCTGCATCCAATTTAAAGCTCCTTCTGCAAGCGCAAATTTCTCCTCGGATCACGCATTCCGTGCAAGGCGGTAATCAGAATCCTCTGCACGCATAAAAGTTCCAAAACCACCAACCAGATAGAAACTTTCTTGTCAAAGCCTCAATCTCTCATCCCACTATGAAGAACTTAAATCCCAGAATTTCACCAGGGCAAACTCCTCATCCCGACCCCTCAACACCAGCATCAATATCAGCAGGGCCTGCAAATCCAAGAACAAAAAGGGTAGTCCGCGACAACAGAAAAAAATGAACAAATCTGGAAACCCTAGCCCTAGAGGTCAACACCTATACACCAACAAAATAAATCTTACTGCTGTCGGATCGAAACTGCGAAGGAATTCGTCGAGGAAAACAACAGAGATGGCGGTGTGGACGAATACGCGAGGGGGGCTGAGAAAAGGGTTCTTTTCTTTTTTTAATCTTTTTTTTTTTTTTTTTTTTTTTTTTTGAGAGGTTTTAATTTTCTTGAAGAGAAAGGGCAGCCTAGGAATAAAGAAAGGGCGGGAGGTGACATGTGGGATAAGGACCGTAAAGATTTCATCGGACGGTGATAATAATAGTTCGCCAGTGGGCCCGCGAGGGATCCGGCACACAACCAGACCATCTGGCGGGCTGCCCGAGATTCCCGGGCAGATGGGTCCCTGTCGAACCTGACCCATTGTGAGCAAATTTAAGTAAATATTGCATTGTAAAAATTAAAAAAAAAAACCCTTATTTTGGAAAGCAAAGGTAGGTTTGTGTTTGAGCCAAACACAGTTATAAAAAATATTATTTGATCATAATTGTCTAAATTAATGTTTATATTTATATTTGACATATTTAAATTTATTTATCAACTAATTTGGCTTAAATATTTATCTCATCTAAATTAATCAAATGCCTTTTATATTAAATGAACTAATTAGTAGTGTGAAATAGGGGTGTTAATATAAGACCTGATTTATCAACTCGGCCTAAAAAATTCTGGTTCGTGTTAAATATATTTGACATATTTAAGATTATTAATCATCTAATTTGGCTTAAATATTTATCTCATCTAAATTAATCAAATGCCTTTTATATTAAATGAACTAATTAGTAGTGTGAAATAGGGGTGTTAATATAAGACCTGATTTATCAACTCGGCCTAAAAAATTCTGGTTCGTGTTAAATCATTTAATAAATGGGGTCGGATTTAAGTTGGGTCTTTCGATTCGTTTATTAAATAGATCGGATTTCGATTGACTGTGAATCTGCTTTTTACTCGAAAATTACTGGTTCAATCTCTTTTTTCTTAATTTTTTTTTGGCTTGTGTATATAATCTTTTTATTTTTTATCATATTCATAACTTTATAGTTATTAAGTTTTATATTTTTATTTTAAACCCAAATGGGTTAATGAGCTCTAGCTATGATCATTTGGGTTACTAGCTGGTAAGGTTTAGGTTGGTCTTTTTCACATGTTTATTAAATGGGTCGGATTTGAATTGATTGGGTTCTAATCTGGTCAATCTCAAGCCATACCCAAATCCGACCCGTCAATCCATTTTTACACCCCTAATGTGACAGGATATATAGCTCATTGGTTTTTTGTTAAAGGAATGGTTATATCTATAGAGTTATGAGTTAGAGCAACATATTTTACATTTCAACCCTCATCATTTAAAAAGTAATAAGTGGTTGGCATACTAATAAATAGTCTTATAATCCTAAATAAACAAATAATTTAATAAATTAAAATTATTATATAATTAATTAACATTAATTAAATAAAATAATAATAAGTCAAGAACAATTTATTGGAATCATAAAAAGTAAAAAACAAGTATTAGTAAGATTGTTCATTAATGTAAATAAATAAAAGAATGTTGACCAAATAAATTTGGGAAAAGCATAAAATAAAATCAAACAAATAAGCATTAAGTTTGGGGACAAATTTTGAAAAATAAGGCTTCATTTGGGACAATTTTTGCTACTGTTTTTTCATTGCTTTCAAGAAATTTTTATTCCAGAAAGTTGTTTTAGAAAAAAGAAAAAGAAAATTATCTCAAGCAAAGCCTAAATAATCACATATTTTAAATAACACTTAAAAAATAATAGATAAATAAACAATCAAGTGTTAATCAACTGCAAAGCATGCCTGAAAATTTCAGTGAACTCTTCCTCATATTGCATGACTATTCTACTCCCCTTAACAAGCCTTAGAAAAATCTCAGCAACTACAAGCCTTAGAAAAATATTTTTGCAACTGTTGTTGTGCAGACAGAGTTACATACTATACATGTAAAATATATGTAAACTCATCCTTACTCATTAGGGAGTTCAGCCTCCCCTTGAACTTCTCTTTTTACTAATCCAACCACTAGTGCTCTACCTCATCTTCTAACATAAAAATAACTAATTGTATCTTTCTCTCATGAGGACAATGTATCCCATCAAAAATCTTTTCCAACCTCATCAACCAGTCTTCTACTACTTTAAGCTCAATACCACCCTCAAATCTCTAAGGCTTCAACCTCAAAAAGTATATATATAAATTTATATTAACATCATCAGATCAAACAGAGGAAATCCTATTTTGAGCCTCTCCCATCACATAGGCTACCATATTAATAAAATGTGAAATGAAATTATAACTAACAGTAGGAATAATACTCTACACTTACGCTGCCTTACTGGTACTCTACCTATCTATCATATCATGGTCTATCAGATCCATCAGAAAACCACTCATGGCACATGCATATGATGTTGCAGATTCCATGAATTATGTTTTGATGATTAGCAAACACTTGCTTCTTTTCGACTGCCTTTACTGCTAACATTTTCAAGATTCAAAGATCGGACATAAATCTGAATCAGCTCAAGATTGAGTAGATTAGGGTTGAGTCAGTCTGTAATTTTATTTTTTCTTTCTTGAGTCAATTGTAATTGTTTGAAGTGACTAATGTTAAGTAACCGTACACACACATTTGAGAGATTTAGAACTTTTATTTTTACTCACATCGGCCCAGACGATATTTATATCGTCCTGGATGATCGAGTTCAAAATAGAAGATCTAATTAGGATTTCTTAGTTAGGGAAGCCGTAATTAACTGATCGGCCTGGACGATACCTGTGTCGGCCAAGACAATATGCTCAATATAGAAAGAAATTGTGGCCATGATCAATTTAGGTATTCTGTATTTTTGGAAATCGGCCAGGACGATTCTTTGATCGGCCTGGACAATATTGTATAATTTTGCCTAAATTGATCCAGGAATCAAGGAAGTAATAAAGAATGATTGATACGATCACATCGTCCTGGACGATCGCTGGATCGGCCATGATGATATATTCAAAAACCCTTAGTTTCTTCCGGACGATAAATATCGGCCAGCTCAAATTCAGGGCGATACTCTAGACGATTTTCCTCTGATTTGAACTGATCGATCGGGACGATCGTGAGATCATCCGGGAATATCAAGCAAATTTTCAATCGTCCAGTTTGCATTCAAGGTGATGCTTTGGTCGATCTTATGAGATTTGTACTGATCAGTCAGGACGATGTCCATATCGTCCTAGACGATAAAGTCGGCAACTTGCAATTAATGAGCTCCTTTGAAGCTATTCTATTTAAGAGCTCTTGTTCAACATTTTTGAACATCCTTGGATGCTGTCTTGACCTGAGAAAACCTAAAGGAGAGAGAGATAGAGGGAGATATATATATATATATGAACTTGTGAGGGGGAGCATGTGAGGGGGTTCACAAGGGTTGCTCCAAGCATTGTTCCACTTCTTCTTCCCTAGAGTCTCTTGTCCTTGAAAGGGTTGGGAGAGGTAAGTTTCATCAAGTGATTGTGGTTCTCTGCCTTCTTCAGGAGGAAGCAAAAGGAGTTGGGTTCTCTGCCTTGCCGGGTGTGGCAAAAAGGAGGTGTTTTTGTGAGAGCTTCTCCGCCTAGCTGTGGGGGCTAAAGAAGAGTCACGTTGGTAGTGCAATACTCGGAGGGGCCTCCGGGTAGTGGACGTAGGTCAAGTTGACCGAACCACTATAAACTCATATGTTCTTTTTACTGCTTCCGCACTTGTTTTCCCGTGGTGATTTTGGTTTGTGATAATCATTCTTTTGTTTTAAAGAATTTTAAAAATACCAATTCCCCCCCCCCCTCTTGGTTAGCCTCGGGACTAGTTCATAGGGCCTAACATCCCTAACGAACTTTCATAAGAAAACAAGCAAAAATACATAGCTAAGTAGACATCCATATGAAAACAAGCAAAAAAAAAAAAGGACCCAAGCATTACCTAGAACTACCTCACTCGACTAAAAATGAATTCGTATAACTCTATTTTATAACTAATTTCTCCCAAACCTATTGCTTTGATATCAAAAAAGGATTCTTATAACCCAACCCAATATGACTCACCAACGTTCAAGTCACACTGTGTTAAATTGAGATAGGCTACCTCAATATCTAAGTTTCAAGGGACTAATTCTATTTCTTCTATTAATTTGTACAGACTACCGAGCTTCTAATTAACTTCAATAAATAGAATAAAATAATCTCTTTCATAAATTTCATTTTATTTCATCAAAATATATACAATATTTATAATGTATAACATTGCTACACATACCCTAAATAGAGAAATAAAATAAATAGCCATGATTGTATAAAAATAAAGGAAATATCTCTACATATTCAAACAAATTATATCCTAAAGGATTAGTTAGTCAACTAGCTCTTTCCCTTTCCCCTGACCTGAAATGGAAGACATAATAGATGTGAGCCAACATAGCTCAACATGTCACAACCACCAATCTTAATTTTTAAATAATTTACTAAGCATAATATTAATAACACATATAAAAAAATAAAGTAGACTGTGCACTGTAAGTAAAAATATACACACTCCAAATATCATAACAAAAAATAAAATATTTTCCCTCACTCCCTTATAACTCCCCTAAAACATAGGGCCTTATGACTCTCATGTTGACATATCAAAATATAAACCCTTATGACTCGCAAATTCTGGAGCAAAATTTCCAAAGATCGTCCCAGGACGATCCAGATCGTCCTGGACGATCCAGATCGTCCTGGACGATCCTGGAGCAGATTTTTGATATTAAACTTATGACTCTCATGTTGACATATCAAAATATAAACCCTTATGACTCTCAATACCCAACATATATTATATTAGACATTCAGAAACTCATGCCCTTATGGTTGATTGCTTATGCATTTAACGTCATAACGAACTTCTATGACACATCAAAACTCCTTATATTTACATAATTCAAGCATATAAGCACAAATATCATTGTAATTCAATATATGAAATATAAATAAATCAACTTGCAAGAATTCAAAGTGTGATATATCGAAAGACTAAAATTGCAACAACTGATTATAAATTCAATAATTAAGAAATTAGTGAGATTATAGAGGAATGTTTAGAATATTATTTTGAAAATTTTCTTGTTTGCATCAAATTTACTTTACAATTAAATAAAATAACATTCTTTTTAGATTACCTAACAAAATGTTTTCCTAAAAATATTTAAATGTACAGAATTATCATATATACAACATACAAAAAATTGTACGGTGAAATATCTACGAATATATAGTAATCCCAATTTTTCTTTAATGAAATAATAATTTAAATTAAGAAAATTTTAAAACTCTTGAATTTTTTAAAATTAAGATAAACAAAATGTAACATACCTCTTTCCGGACAACTTTTAGAAGTGGGCCGATAGCAGATAGTGAACTTGAGTCACCCAAACTCTAGCTTTCTCTTACTAAAAACCTCCTCTTCCTCTCTCTCTCTCTCTCTCTCTCTCTCTCTCTCTCTCTCTCTCTCTCTCTCTCCTCTCTCTCTCTCTCTCTCTCTCTCTCTCTCGTGCGCGAGCGCGAGCTTCCTTGAAGTAGATAATGGGTTTTGAAAATGGTAAAAATAATATTTTATATAAAATTTGAGCTTAACATTGTGACAAATTAAATATGTGCACCTCTGCTTATAGGATCACAACATCGTAGTGCCACCAGAGTGTCATAGCACCAAAATTATTTTGGTCAAAAGATAGAGAGCTGAAAGTCATGGCACTACTAAACCTAGAGTCGTAAAAACTTTAGAGTACCCAAACATGCACACAAACCCTCAAGACTCACTTTAGACCATATTCAGACACTTATATACATATTGAACAATCCCAAACACATGCAAAGGAGTTCAATCACAAAAAAAAAATTGTGAGTTACATTTATCAGGTATAGTTATAATAAGTGCAACCATACACGGATTTGATAGGTGTTATAGGAGGTATAAGGAGATTGATTGATATTATATGATACATTGGATATAAAGTGATAACTTCTTATATAAAAGTCATGTGGCTTGTGATATGAAACTGATTCTTGGAAATATGACTAATATGATGGAGATTGATTCCTATCAGATCGAACTACGTTACTAGATACAGAAAAAGTAACATAGGCAGCCAGATGTCTTACCTTACTTATATATGCATTTGATATGAACATATATATAAACTTGTATACATGATATAATAATATGACATAAGACATGATTGATATAAGTAAATAATAAAACTTATAAGACTAAGACAAGTGCATATGATACACATGAATTATATGATACACATAACACACCACATTGGATATAAGACATGATATAAATATATAACATAGATATTGTACGACATGCAAATGATATTGAGTGATGGATTTTTATTAATAACATGTGTCTTATTTTACATAAAATGATATATAAACTATTTTGTTATTCATGTGTATAAGAATGATAGAACCTGCTAGTCCTTTTTCATGGTTACTAATAACTGCTCATAAGATATACAACTCACACTAACTTTTATTACTCATATGATATGATACTATTTATATTGACTATTAAGTGTTCTTGTAGTTATATGTTTACACTGCTTTTGGTTGAATAATTACATGCATATTATTTTCATTGTCTTGCATTGATTGCAGTTGTAGGTTCTAGCAACCTATTGAGCTGTTAGATCACTTTGTATATATTTTTTTTCATGCCTTCAAGAAGGGGTTAGGACCCAGAGGAGTCAGATCGATCAATATTTCAAAGTTTTATTTTATTTTGTGTATTTTTTTTTTGTTTTATTCCTTTGTAGTCGCAAATTTAGAAAGATAAAATGATGTATTGATTGATCTCCTGGCTCTTGTATATGAATTTTGATGAATTAATATACAAATATTATGATATACATGATTTATAATTGCTTTGTTGATTTTTATTTATTTAAATAAGATTAATAGCTTTGATAGACTAATTACGAGTTTAAAATAGATAATTTTTTCAAATTTTAACCTTGGAGCGTTACAGAGCATGAGGATGAAAAGGTTACAATGAAGGAGCAACATGAGATCTGCCTTATAAAGCCAAAATACTTGGCTATGGGTAGGCAAGATGCCCTTCAATATCATTGAGATCGTTACTTTCAGAGCCATAATTGATTATAAAAAAAAGTCAATCAACTCATTAATGATCTCCTTTAGTCTACTGAAGACTAGTTCATTTCATTGGGAGGAACTCTATGATAATTTAGGCCACTCATCTTATCATGAAGGAGACAAACATCCTAGTGGCATCCATGTGTTTATTGCTCAAGTGGAGGAGATTAGGTACTGGGTGGATCAAAATGTCAGCGATTGGGATCGAGTGTTTTAATTGGTCATGTTGAGTTTCGATCCCAATTGTAAAATATAAAATCCAGCTTATGAATGAGCTCATATCAGCTAACCTACTCTCCAAAGCAACTAATGAAGAGTTGAACTTAAGCTCCACATAGTGGTAAGAAGGGGATATCTCTGGTCAAAAGCTTTTTTCATGGGCATTTAGGTCAAATAAGACAAACTCACACACAAATCACATACGCAAGACTCAAACCTAAGACCTCTTGGTTGATAGCCAAGCTCCTAATCAACAGACCAAGATGAGTTGCGTCCAAGAGTCCTATCAAATAACAATATGGCATATAGGCACATACATACACTATGTTGATTCCTTTTTATATTAAATTGTACAACAAAGATTGGGCTCCAAAAAAGAACTACCTATGTACCATCAAAAGAATGATAAAATCTCATGAAGTTTAAAAAAATTGCAATAGATTAATTGAAAATAAATTACAAAATGATAAGAAACACTTCAACAAGATGTAGTAGAAGCGATGCACCTTGCTTTATATACATTACATAAATTACACATTAATGATTTTTCTTTGCTATTCAAACAACAATATTACCAAAGAAAAAAAATGATATCTAATCCTAGAAGGCAATATTCTTTTTTTTTTTTTTTACTTCCATTTGAGACAATTTTTTAATTATTTTTTAAAATAATTTTGAAACAACAAAAAAGTGCAAAAAAAAAAAACTGTCCAAACAACACCATAGTTATTTGTTGCTATGATTAATTTATTTGAATGTCAATATCAGATGTGTTTGTTTCATTAGAAATAGAAAAGTGATTTCCTTCAATAAGATTTCTCACCCATTTATTGCGCTGAGACATTTTACCATGCTTTGATCCTATATTTCACCTACAAGATTCGCATTTTGTAAGGCGTCATATTTGTCGTTTTATTTACCAACGCTCAAATCAATTAGAGCACAGCATTTAAAAAGGCAGACCCACAATTTGTCCTTATTTGCAAACGAAATAAATGGTACAATTTGCCTTCATTTGCATATTTCGATCAATTTAAATTAAATTTCCCCCAAAAAAATTAAAATTAATTTAGATTCTTAATTATGTTAGGTATGTAAGCTTTTACACTTTATTTTTTTAAAAAAATAATTATTAAAAAAATGTTTAAAGATTATTTTTTCATAACTATTTCAAATTTCTAAAAAACTGTCCCTAAACAAATTTTTTTGAAATTATGACCGATATAAATTTTTAAAAATGAAATAAAATGCCCAAAATAAACCCTTAAAACATTTGATTAAAAAAGTAAATAAAACATTTCATTTGCAAATGTAAAAATACACAATTTCAAATTACACCATTTTAATTAGGCCAATATCTTAAAATAGATGCAAACAATTTGATCAAGCTCTTTAATTAGATAAATTATTCTGTGCGGACGCCGAAAGCAGTTCGCCGTCCAGAGACCAACCAAAATACACTAAGTCAATGGTACCGAGCCAGGAGTGACGTGGCACATTCTGATTGATCTCCGGATGACGTTGCTTATCCACACAAATATCATCTCTCACACAATCCAATAACCGAAGCTGCAACTAATAAACTCAACTAGTTGGTCAAAACAACTGCTATGAAGTATAAATCTGGAGCCATATACACTGCAACAAAATTTTCCTTTGCTATTATCACTGAAAACCTCAGCCATCAGAATTAATAACAGAGCCTAAATACAATTATTGATAAAGGGGGAAAGCTAATCCTATATGTTTCTAAACTATGCAATGTCCATGAAAAATTCCAGCTTATTTCCCTTCTCAAGATAAGCTTAGGATCTACAAAAGCATTCTACTACATATGTGCAAACACCAAAATTTCTCAATCCCTCTGATGAAACCACCTTCAGAGCCCAAAATACAGGCTTTCTTACCCAAAGTGGATTCAGTGCTTCGCAAAAACCGCTTCTGTGTCCAATCAAACGGTGACTCAAACAGATCAGAATTATATGCTAGATTATTGAGAAGAGATTGATCTGATGTAGAACTAGCCTCTCTTTTGATATGCACAAGTTACCTGGGAGAAAATTCTGAATATCAGGTGAAATAATAGTAAATATTTAAAAGAGATGTACAGTAATAAATGAAGAAGCTGTGAGTTAATTTACATTGCAGTGGATTTCTGATTGCCATTTATCTTAGAAAAGAAAGCTTGTAGTAATTGCAAAGCGGCTTAATAGCCCATATAATGATGGAATATTGATGGGAAATAAGCGTCCACAAACAGAAAAACTGCTGTTTACAGCAGAAAAACAGCAATAATGCAGCAGAAAACTTGATAAAATTGATGAAATCAGACAGAAAGCACTTGGATTCCACTAGTTGAAAGAGAAAAAGCAGCATACAGTACAAATTTCTTTAATTCGAGAGGAAGAAACAACTCTCTAAATCTCTAGCCAAGAGACTAGAGCCCAAGCACCTAAGAAGATCACAAATTCAGATTTCAAATTCAAGATGAAAACCTAACCCTAACCAAAGACACTAATTAAAGCAAAGAGGACAATTATAAATTCCCTAAACAATCCTTAATTCAAATTTACCTCCCAAGCAAAATTTAATTAAAAAACGGGTCCCATAGCTCCAGCAGCCCCCTCTCTCTTCTCCCTTGTTCCGCCCGCCCCCTTGGTCCGTCGTTTGTAACAATGAACCGGTCCAGGATGGATTGGTTTAGCCGGCCCCTGGGCCAGCCTAACAAATACCTATAGAACAAGTTATTGCGTGATGAAAAATCAAAACCCTTACAACAGATCCAAGTGCAATGTGAACCATCTAACTAAATCCAAGTGCAATGTGAACCATCTAACTAAAAGGGAAAATCTTTTTTTTTTTTTGGCAATTAGGAGTAGGTTAAGTTCCATAATAGTTTTTTTTTTTTTTCGCATTCATGGACACAGGTGATTTGGTTGTTTTCCTTATGTTCCTATGGATAAATTTTCCTCACCTACCACACAACATAATGCCAACTTGTCGAGATCATTTTGAGATAGATTTCTAGCATTAGAGTTACCAACTTCTTACCACTTTCTTCTTCATCACAGTTGCCATCGTTTTCTTTTGAAAAAGATCCTTCGCAAATATTTTTGCCACTTTTGATAGAAGAAGGATGGTTGTTAGTGTTGGTGAACAACCCATCAACATGGAGAAGAGGCTCTATATTGAAGGACCCCTCAGCCACATAAGGAGTGGAACCTTAATGCTTTGATACCACATATTGAAAATTAGAATGATAAGATGAGAGTATTAAATGAGAGATTATATGTCTTCGTTATATTTGGAAAACAAGATGAGAAGTTGTATATATATAAGTAGAGAAATAACTATCAAGGAAAGAAACAAATATGAAAAGGGGGATTTACATACATACCACTTTATTTCATGCTATTTCCATATCTAACACCCAAAATTTTAATATTACATTCCTATCACTCATATAAAATTTTAATATCAAATATATTACTCCTATATTTCATTCTTACCACTCATACCACCATATAAACTTTAATATTTCATTCCATACACCCATATTTATTCTATGGATGTTATGTATGTAATATTAAAGTTTCAGATGTTAGATATGTAAATAGCATAAAATAAAGTGGTATTTATGTAAATTCCCAATATGAAAAATAAACTTTAAATTTGGCAGTCAGAATTAACTAGACGACAGAAATGGGATGTTGCTATTTACTGATTGTTAGGTTTCGGTAGATGAAAAGTGGCCATCCATAGATTGTTGGATTGTTGTACACGAAAAACTGCTCTCCATAAATTGTTGTGTTGATGCATATGAAAAGATGTTCTTTACATTTTAATTGCATATTTCCAATAAAGCGAACAAGTCTGTAAACATAGGACTCATGCTAGGCCAAATTTGTTCATTGAAAGAATAACAGACCTTGATTAAAAAAATCACTGGTACATATCAGCCCATGAAAACCTACATTTCATGCAGCTCATGTTGGGTTCAAAATAATAGAATAAAATCAAACGCACAAATGATCTTAAAATGATAGCCAGAATACTATTAAGAGTAACAACAAAATTTGGAAGAGACAAGCATGCATGATTAAAATTTCTATGCTATCAGAGAAAGAGGTTCAAAGAAAACGTGTAAAATCTCAACAATGCACAAATCAATCAAATACTCAAATAATCTTCGACATATATTGATGCTCCACTATGTCATTCAGTAAATTGTTTGCACAATAAATTAAAACTGAACAGCAACGGGAAACTAATACTAACATTGATTTAGGTTATAATGAAGTGAATAATACCTGCACAAAGGGTCAGAATCGAACAGCATACAAAAGAGATTATGACCTCCCAGCTAATGTTGTCGTGGATCTTTCTTAGCAAAACTTTCGGGCACAAATGAAGGACAATTTCTAAGAGTTTCAATAGGAATAGCAGTTAGACAAACAGCCATTCTTTTGAATTTCTGCCTGCATGGTAATGACCCGCAATAGGAATCACTCACAAAAGTCAATCTTAATCAACTCTGCCTCATCAACAAAACTGAATCATCCCAACCCTAATTTAATGAAAATTAACAGCACAACCTGCAAAGACAATGTAAACATAACTCAAGTAAAAATGAAAATAGTAGGAAAATGTAAAACACATTAAGAGTACAAAGTGTGATATCTTACATATATTATTTTGAAGATGAAAAAGAACAATCTTCCAGAAAATAGAGCTTTATTTAAAGAATCTTCTATAACATAATCCAAAATACCCGTAGCTTGCCACTCTGATGCTGATGCATTGATGATTTCAGCCTGCATCCAACTAAACTTGAAATGACAAGATTAAAATAAGCATTGGTTGATCAGTATCTCTGTTTAGGATCAACATATTTCATGTCCAATTAGGAGACAAGAATTCTTCTCAGATCCTTTGCAGGACAGTTCTGTCAACCATCTAAAATTCAACAACCTCCAATAACCTCAGGAATCTTAATCCGTTCTCCATCAAGTCAATGAAGCTGAAGAACAAATTACTTCTATAAGCATCACCCAGCACAATCCAGCAGTTAGCAGTCAATAATCTAAGCCATTTACATGTAAAAAGCCACACTTTAGTTCAACTTGCCAACCAAATTTGTGTAAATATTCCACAACTGATGCTGATCTCAAGAAAATTGAAGTGTACCACGCTCTCATAGAGTAGACAGAATCAGCACAGCGTCCATCTATTTTCATTTTGAAATGCAATCACCATATAAAGCATTTATATCCATGGAAAAGATACCTTGAAGCTTTAATGATTAAAATATTCCATAGAATGTCTTATAAGCCTCAATAATTCCTCTATATTGTGAAAATTGAGGTTTAGACTTCATTTACTCAAACAATGCTATCAAAAAAATGTGTCAGCAGGACAGCTAGTGCTCCCATGTTTGCCTGGGTTGAAGTGCTCCTTTGGAGCCAATTTATCCTTTTATGCTCTCGTTTAATAAAGGGACCCAGCACAGAATCCATCTATTGTAAACTATGCAATATCAGTGAGGTGCAATATCTTTGAGAAAGCTTCCTGAAAGCTTAATGATTAAAAGACTCCATGGCAGCTCTTATTCGCCTCAATAATTCTTCTACGTTGTGAAAATTGAAGTTTAGAGCTTCTTCTACTGCAGCAATGCTGTCACGAACATTCTTTTCAAGGCTGGCAGAAGCCATTGACAGTGCAATCTGAGACTTCCTTGAAGCTTCAAGGGCAGATATTGAAACATTTGCCTGTAAAGATGATGATAAGGGCAGTTAGGTCCACATATATGATAGACTGATTATAAATGGAACCACTGAGAAAGTTTAGAGATGATAAAACTCCTATTTAACCTAAGCAAAATTAAAACCTGAAGCACACTCATCTTCCTAACTGTCCTCGGTCATAATCAATAAAAGCTCGTCATAATTTGTTTTTGGGGTTGATGATCATGAAAAGAAAGAAAGGGTACTTGATGTAATAAAAAAATAAGGGGGTCCCTTATTTTTTTATCACAAAAAGACAACTCTTCTAGGAACAAAATAAAGACATAAAAATACTTAAAAGAACACAAATACTATCATTTTATAAAAACTATTACAACTTGGACACTTACAAACTTGACTCAAACAAGACACCCTAAACTTGCTTCACTTTGAGAAGAAGGATACAGATGGAGTGGCACTTGCGGAGAGACGAAAGAGGTTAGAAGCCCTTTAGTTCAAAAAATGAACTAAAAACCAGCTCATAAATGAGCTAACCTTTAGTTCAAAAAATGAACTAAAAACCAGCTCATAAATGAGCTAACCTTTAGTTCAAAAAATGAACTAAAAACCAGCTCATAAATGAGCTAACCTTTAGTTCAAAAAATGAACTAAAAACCAGCTCATAAATGAGCTAACCTTTAGTTCAAAAAATGAACTAAAAACCAGCTCATAAATGAGCTAACCTTTAGTTCAAAAAATGAACTAAAAACCAGTTCATAAATGAGCTAAATTCCAGCTCAAAATTTATTGAGCTTGTAGATTCAAGGGAAGCCAAAATTGATTTATTTTCGACATGAGTTGACCCCCCTTGTCTACATCAGTATTGCTACTCCAATCTAATCAATTAGATTGAACTTGACAAGTCATCTCAATCATTCAATCGAACAAAGGACTTTATTATGAATCAATTTAGATTAAATGAACCTTCACTCATGCTCTAGGGTTGAAAATAGTTGAAAAACCAGATATAACAAAGTGTTTTTCCTGGTTGGCTTACAAGCTCATCAACATTATTAACACTGAAGGGATGGTGGGGCCATCAAGGACAGGTTAGACTTCTGAAAAATAGAAAAAAAAAAAACATCATTGAACCTTTTTAATAAAAAATCTCAAAGCAGTATTGCCCAAATCTTAGCACCAAAATGTGTAAACCTTTAGCTTTTAAAACACTGAAAAATGCCCATAAAAAAAAAAACCTCATGTAACCTTTTTAGTAACAAATATCAAAACAGTATTGCCCTAATCTTAGCACCAAGATGTGCAAACTTTAGCTTCCATAATATTAGAACACTTCGGAATAAATGATTTTTGTATCATATGTTATCTTAATGCAACAATCCATCCTTATTATTCAGAGTTTTCATCTTGGCAAAGGAGACAACTTGAAAAAGCAATATGAATAAGCATTAAGAAGTTGGCCATTGTGCAAGCCTCAACAGTGTGTCAAAACTTGAATACTCCAGTAACATGTCAAAGACTTGGGAAATTTAATCTTGTAGATGCCAGTTCTGAAACTCTATTGACTGCAAGCTTGTTTCCCTGGTTCCTCATATACCTCAATCATTGCATAAGCATATTCTTATATGGATTGATGCATAATTATCTGTAGTAATGGTTTATAGCTCCACAAGTGCTTGCTCTGAGTGTTCAAGGTTGGACACTGGAAATTTTTTGTGATCTAAATGCTTCATTCAACATGGAATTTGCAGTTTTGTGCAGTAAATAATGCATGATTTCAAAATGATAATGCTACATATTGCGCTACTGACATCTTTGATCAAGCTTACTCTCCATTTTCTCATATGACATTTAAAATATTTCAAGTTAATTCCAGTCTTCAAATATGTCTTTCATAAGGTAATCAAAATTGAGTTTTCTTCAAGATTTCTTAACAAGCAGAAATATAGCGATCAAGCCGCCTGCTTTCTGAAGATCCTTTTTGCTCTGTATGAAAGGGAAAATAAAGGGGCAGGGCAGAATTTCTCTTTAGTACCAGCATTCAGTTTGTTCCCTTAAAACCTCCATCATCCTGTCTAGTTTACATCTGGAAATCAATAAGAGTTTCCTTGGCGCTGCTTGCAAACACTTGGCAATGATCCTGAGAGAGATTCAATGAGGAAATATTCTGTTAAGATATATATCCCTCTTTGGTCAATCTGGACTAGTGCCTTGCTTTAAGAAAAGAGAAACGGCTTGTGTTGATGTGTTGAGCGTGTCATTTTAGAGGGTGGTGCAATAATTTTAAGAACTCAAATAGCCCAAGTGAAAGGATTGGAGGATTGACAGCAAGATCTTTATATTAAGATTTATGATTTATATCAGTATTTTAAAGTTAATACTAATCACCAGCACTATTCACATTAATGTAACACTGCAGTACTGTTGCACAACGGGTGCTATAGCGTTGTGATTTGTTGGAGTTTATTTTAAGTTGATTAATTGAGATTTGGTTGAGAGTATATTTTATTTTACTTCTTTGGGTATTAAGATTAGATAAGAGTCATTATATCAGCTAAGTAGATTTATTATGGTCGAATTTTTTTAGTTCCATATTAGCTTTGAAGTAAGTTAATTTCATGATAAATCGTTGAATGAAATAAAGATTTTGGAGTTGTAGCTGTGCTTGCTAAACTCCGGAACAGAATCTTTCTTCTTTTTTGAGTGATTCCATGAGCCCCTATTATTGTGAAACAAATAAAGGTAATCAAAGAGTGGCTGATAATCACTTTCATCCAGGAAAGTTCATATCAGAAATTCAAGTAATTGGCTGTTTAAAAACAGGCTTGCATCATGTTTTAATAAGAATTGGCACAAACACACGTGAACTTGATTTTCCTAAGGATACAGGAATTAATTGAATGTCATATGTGCTGATTCAACACTAAAGCATAAATCTTCAAATAAAATCATTGACTTCTTCCCCTTCCTCCTCCTTCAAGCGCATCCTCCACTTCACTAGAGCCCATTATACCACTAAAACCACCTTCAAGAAGAAACTGTCAGAAGGAGGTTGAAGACATTGTCACATTCTCAATGAGCAAATCAACTCAATGTGGATAACTGGCAGATTGATGCATGATCGAATGGAGCGATCAATTGAATTCCCATAACATTTGGATTAGTACTCAGGGCTATGGTAGCTTGAGCCAAAGAAGACCTACAATAGCCTTCATAAACGATTTTATTGCATGGCAGAGTTAATGGCAACTTCAAAATTTATACACGGGAGAAAGAAGCATATTACATTGAGGCAAGGAACACCACTCCTATTAACCATTACGGCAAACATGCACAAAACCAAAGAACATATGTTATTGTCTACAAGCATTGCTTACCGTAGTATATTAAACATATGAAATGAGGAGTTGATGTGCTTAATGGTTGATCAAGGTGTTTAAAGTGATTTGTCCTTAAGCTTTTAGAGTAATCGCTCCTTCGGTTTAGTTTGATTTGCTGTTTTCATCTGTATATTTGTAATATTTTAGAGTATATATTGAGATTATCTTGTTGTATGATATTTACCTTATGCACCACCAAAGCCCAAAAGGACTCCGGAAAGGTGCTTTTAACTATGACTTTTATAGAAGATATTCCGAGCCTATAAGAATAAAAGTTGCAGTTCTGCTTGCCAGGTGTGAAGAAGAGTATGGAAGGTGAATTAGCTGCTACTCCGTTAAGGAGAAGGCTTCTCCATCATAAGGAGAGATTGGAATGGAATCGAAGTAAGGTGGCTTAGGCGTGAACATAGGTCTAAGTATAGTAACATACAGTGCTCTATAATTAAATTTACTTACTTTAAAGATTTACTTGCTTGGTTAGCATTGTTTCAACTTTGTGTTGGTTGGCATTTAATCTCATTTATGCTCGTCATGGGCAACCATTATAATAACATGGTATCCTTGTATCATATGTCACATCCATATATCTGATGGACCGGTCCGGTCCATAGCAACACCGGCCCAAAAAGGGCCGGTTCTCACTTACAGCAGGCGGAGAACCGGCCTGCCTGGGCGGACTAACGAAGGGGAGAAAGGAATCGGGTGGGCCCTTGGGGCCCACCAAATTGAATAGGAAGGATGAGGTGTTTGCCCTAGGGGTAATTAGGGGTTTTTAAGAGGTTTATGTGAGAGTTAAAAGTGAGTTAGGGTTGCTTTTTGTGGGGATCTTGTTTGGTGGCTATTTTAGTTTTCTTCTTCTCTAGGGCTTGGGAGAAAGCTTCTCTTCTCGAATTGAGAGCATTGTATCCGTGGAAACTTGTAAGTCTTTTGATATTCAAGTTATTGAAGTGTTTGTGAGTGTTTTCATCCAAGAAATTTCGCATTTTTCCACCGTTTTTGGGCTGTTTTCCCTGGATTCCGAAAATTACCAACTAAGCTCCATCAATATCTTGTGTTGGAACTTGTGTTTGACTGCACTAATAGGTTGAAATACTTGATTACAAGTTTAGGTGCTAGCATATTTCAATGGAAGCTCTTCATTATTAAGCATATAGGTGGATCACTAGTTAGTACTGCAAATATTGCATACTTAGAAACACATTTCTTAGGCTATATTTGTAAGAATATCTCTAATATTCTATGCGTATATGGTGTGTGCTTAAATTGAATGGTTAAATAAATATACATATTAAGTGCAAGTTTGCAAATCCAATTCATCCCACTGTTGGGGTGTCATAGCCATCACTGTGGACCAATGGCCTTAAACAATCCACCTGGATAATTTCTGAGATAATTGGCATGACAATTTACATCACACATCCACGCATGCAAATATTAAATCAAAGGAATCTACTTTTATCATACCTTTTGATGCAAGCATTACAGCACAATAACAAAATCAAAGAAATAGAAGTAGCTGAAAGTAAAATCTGAACATCCTTAAATCATCCCAAACATATATGAGCTCTGTTTAGAAGAATATAGTTGGCATGTAGATGCATGTTCAGATGGCTATAACACAAAATTAATATTTTTTTGCAAAGCCAAACTACTTCAAGTTCCCATATTAAGAAATGATTACCATGCAAACATTCATTCACAATCAAATTTTGCATGATCTGTTGGCCTAGAAACAGCAAACTTTTGTCAAGCATTAAAAAGCAACTTACATAGTCAAGCCACCGGGTAAAGCTAGGCCTGGATGCAATAGCATGACTACCGGTATTTTGAAGAGAATTAACAACCTTTGAACAAGTAACCTTCCCTAGTGCACCCGGCTGATTCAAGTTATCGAGGTCAGAAGCAGAAGACGAAGGCGAGTCATCTGTAAGAAATATTAAAATGTATTGTCAAGTGTGAGCCTCATAGAGTCATAGTCACATATCACAGTAAATAACTGAATTACTGACCACACGATGAGAGAGAGAACTGAAGAATAAATACATTCCAGTACATTAGAACAAATTCAATGTTTAAAAAACAAAATAAAAATGAAAATAGATCAAATCAATATAGCACCTAACCAAGGAAAAAAATCAGATTATTTTGCGGCCATTACAATAGTCAAACTGTCTAATTTCATCCTATGCTGCAACAAAAGAATAAATTTATAATAAAAGCATTAGTCAAAAACTATTTCAGCAATGAAAATTCCTTCTAAATAATCTTTAACGTTCAGCAAAAAAATTGCATGCTTAGCCTTGTCGAAAGAAATAAAAACATTTTAGTACCCATAACATCATAAGATTTAAAGAAGGCAAGAGTTGAGCTATCTGCAAGTGAATCTTACACCTCTTTAAAAAAAGGAAAAAACAAGGTCTCTTAAAAAATGCAAAATAGATTAATTTATGCCAAACCTATGGTCAGTAAAAAAGGAAAAAAAAAAAAGTCAAATCTTTAGATAAAAAGAAGTTAAAACCAGAAAATTTTTCTTCTGCTAACCTTGTGAAAATGTCTGCATGGTTTCTTCCAGTTCATGACAGTCCTTTGACGCAACATAATTCTTGAAAAATGCAACCTTGAAATAAGCCACTTCCATACATTTATATGCCAATGCAGCACAAGCCATGTCCTTGCTTTTTTCATATTCACGTGCGCAAAACCTATAAAAAGGAATGAAGCAATCACCCCCTAAAGAATAACACGAAGCAGGGGTGGAATTCATGAATTAGGATATTTATGTTCATGTGATAAACTTCAAAATAGCCTTCAGACCAATCCTCTTAGCCAGTTTAATTCCAGAATATCACGTTGCTCTAATTTAATCACTCAACTATACAAGCTTGATCCAAAAGTCCCTTTGGGACAAAATTGGGCTCAATTTCTATGGTCGAAGGACTATATTGGGATCAATTTTATATCACAATTATAATATGAGAGACCATTTTGGATCAATACGGTACAATCGAGGGACTATATTAGAGCAACGTGATACTCTAGAACTAAATTGGTTACTCACGAATAATTTTAGGGACTATTTCGAAATTTTTCTATTCATGATTTCATTTTTGAGAATTAAGAGCAATTACTGATAGAAGATGACTTAAATTGCAAGAAAACAAAACTTAGGCAAGCGATGAAGGTCGTAGCATTTTTTGTCATGAATGAATTTTGTGCAAGAGAGAGTTGATGGTGCAGTTATGTCACACAGCATCCTTTAAATGAGGCATTAGACACTCCCTCCTACTAACATTTCACACTTGCAATCGCTCATAATGCCACATGAACAGGCACCGAAAACCAAAAAGGAGTTTTTAGCTTGGTATGGAGCGATGAGAGAGAAAATTATTTGGTTTGTGCACTGTTGAACCACTATTTCTTTATTTCTCTAGAACAGTTAGAAAAACCATAGGCTTTGACCATCATGAAACATAATTTAAATCCATGTTTTATATCATCACCCACAAATTTTGAAAAAAAAAAAGATTATCACCCACAATATTAAAAAAACTACCAATTATTTAACTAAATAAGTCTACAACAAACAAAATCCACCATGTCAACTTTCATGTGAAACCTTTGCTGGGGAAAAGTATGCACTAAGGAGTAATAATGAACGAGAAAGAATGATGCGAATGGAAGGGAGGTGCTCAAAATTCTCAGTTTCTTCTCCTTTTCACGTGGTTTTTGCAAGGGAATGAGCAAAACAATGAGGGAGAGAGAAAAAGTTGGAGAGACATATAAAGGGCTCACTTAAGAGAATTCTTTGAAGTGAAATGAGAGGTGAATGCTTATAAAGGAATATATATATATATATGCGAATGGAAGGGAGGTGCTCAAAATTCTCAGTTTCTTCTCCTTTTCACGTGGTTTTTGCAAGGGAATGAGCAAAACAATGAGGGAGAGAGAAAAAGTTGGAGAGACATATAAAGGGCTCACTTAAGAGAATTCTTTGAAGTGAAATGAGAGGTGAATGCTTATAAAGGAATATATATATATATATATATATACAGATATATACATATATATATATATATACACAGATATATATATACATATATACAGATATATATATAGTCAACTAAACATGAGTTGTTCAAGAAAAATGATCTTTTCTAAAACCTTTACTTGCAATAATATATAAAATAAGCTTAACGAACTTATTTATTCAACTTATCTAAAAAATCATGCTAATCTAAGTATAAATAATAAGAGAATTTCTGAATAAATCATGCATACAAAAAATAAAATAGAACGTAGTCAACAACAACAACATCAAGCCTTTATCCCACTACGTGGGGTCGGCTACATGAATCCTTTTTCTCCATTGTGTCCTATTAAAAGTCAAATTCTCATTTAAATCTAATAAAGAAAGGTCATTACTAAGATTTTCTAACCAAGTCTTTTTAGGTCTACCCCTACCTTTCTTAACACAAGTCAAATCTAATACCTCTACTCTCCTAACCAGTCTCCATAATTCAAGTTACCTTCAACTCCCTCTCTAGCCTTGTCAACAAGAAGAATATCATTAGCAACAAGCATACACCAACGAACATCCTCTTGCAAATGTCGTGTAGAAAACATCCATGACTAAAGCAAAAAAGAATGGGCTTAAGGCTCCAACCGAAATAGGGAAATACTTCGTCAAACACCTTGTGTTTGAACACACAAGTAATAGCTCCTTGCATACATATCTTTAATGATTGAATATAAGCATTATTGACTCTTTTTTTTCAAGAACTCTCCATAGCACTTCTCTTGGAAATTTATCATATGCTTTTTCTAAATCAATAAATATCATATTGAGATCCTCCTTATTTCTCGATATTTCTCCATTCAACCTCTTAATAAATGTATGGCTTCCATAATCGACCTACCCGGCATGAATCCAATTTGATTTTTAGAAACATTAGTATCACGCTGCAACCTATGCTCCATAACTCGCTCTCATAGTTTTTAAAGTATGACACATTAACCTTAATACCTACTATAATTCGTACAATCTTGTGCATCACCTTTATTCCTAAAAAATAAGAATTAACACACTCATTATCCACTCATTCTGACATCTTTTTATTATTCCAAAATAGTATTAAAAGTTTAGTAAGCCAAAAAATCCTTCATCTCCCTAAGCATTTCCACACCTCTATTGAATATCATCAGGTCCACAGCTTTTCCACCCTTCATTCTTTTAAAATATCTCTAACTTCAGTTTATTAATACGCCGATAAAAACAAAAATCTTTATTTTCATTTAGGGTGCTAAGGTCACTATAGTCAATCTTATTTTCACAATCTCTATTAAAAAGTTTAGCAAAATATTTCATCCACCTTTGTTGAATATCATCTCTAAGAAAAGTATTTGATCTTCATCCTAATACACTTCACTTGAACTAAATCCTTACTACTCCTATCTCTTTGTTTGGCTAACTTATACATATGTCTTTCTCCCTACTTAGTATTTAATCTATTATATAAAATCACTAAAAAGCATATATTGCATCGCATATTACTTTCTTAGAATCCTTACGAGCCACTTTATCATTTTCAATTATCAGAATTTTAAAATTAAAATCAATTTTATAACAAATCTTCTTATTTTAATCTTTTCTTGCACAATTGGATTCCACCACCAACTATTTTTACTATTAGAGCTTTTCCTTTAATACTCCCAGCACATCTTTTGCAATATTCTTAATATCACTAGTCACTTTTTCCACATAACATTAGTCTCTCATGCATCAGACAAAATCTTAAGATCTAAAAATCTTACTCTCA